GAGTGAGGATTTTCAGAGGCAGAACTGGGAGGGAGTGCTGGAAAAGGTAGAAGCCAGGTTGTCTAAATGGAAATGGTTGCTACCTCACCTGTCCTATAGGGGAAGAGCTCTGATGGTGAATAATCTGGTCGCATCATCTCTGTGGCACAAGTTCATCGTGCTGGTGCCACCACCACTGGATAAACGGTTATTTCTGCTGAGACCATCTGAAGTTGACCTGACAGGACTCACACCTTTCTACAGCTGGGTGATTGATGCCTGGCAGACACTGACGCCCACACGACCCCAGTGTGGAGGAAGTCTGGCAGTGTACATTTTTCCCTCTCTGAGCGTCTGTCCTGCTGCTGAGGAGTGACGAGAGGAGACTTCTTCTCTCCATGAAAACACCAGTGCTGGGTAGATTCAGCTCCTGTGGGAAGAAGCAGCTGTACTACAGCTGTGTGAAGGTGCTGAACCTTCGCTCTCTGGCCGGAGTCAAGGAGTGGAGATGGTGTGAGGTGTTTGCTTCAGACGTTACCCCTAAAGGCGGGTGGAGGGTCCTGTATAAACCCCCTGTTGAGAAAAGGATGATACTTGGAGCAATGGCTACGAACAGACACAGAGCTCACCTGGATCCAGGCACTGGGGAGGGCTGTCCATTCTGCACTCAGAGGGAAACATTAGAGCACTTAGTGGTGGGTTGTCCTCGGCTAGGTGGTCTTTTTAGAGTGCTGAAGGAATGGGTGGAAGCTTTGGGAGAGGATTTCTCTGTCCTCTCTGTTTGTCTTTGGACCAAAATATACAGTAAGGAAAAAACTGATGTTGGCTTTAATCAATTTTTTATTTGGGACAGCTGAGCTAGAAGTTTGGAAGACCAGGAAGAGTCAGATGTTGGGTCAGGGCTGGACGGCTGTGGTGCGGAACCTGAAAGGTCTGGTTGCAGCTCATCTGAGAGTAGAGCACGCTTTCTACACACTGACTAGTAATGTGGATCCTTTCAGGGCTCTGTGGGGGATCAGACATGTTATATGTTCACTAGAGGAGGATGGTTCACTGCTTCTTAACGTTTAACTTGTTATTGTGTGTGTGTGTCTAGTGATCCTGGTTGAGGATTTATTATGATAGAAAAGGAGCCTGTTTTTTAATGTGACATAAAAAAAGAAGTCAAAAGTCTCCCCGATCAAAATGGTTTCCTTGGGCTGCAAATCCTCTTTGCTCAAACATGTTGTGTAAATGACGAAGAACAAGGTTTAAATGTTTCCTGTGATGCTCTGTCTTTATTTCATGTTTCCTGTTTAACCGGAAGTTTATTTTGAAAGGACACTATACACATGGAAGAAAGGGAAATTAACAAGAGGGAAAATAGTAGTGAATCGGTAACGACACCTAGAGAGAAAAAGAAAAGGACAAGTGTTCAAAAGATAAAGGTACTTTAGCACCAGTCCAGAGCGGCTACAAGGTATGTTTACTGCTATAGTTTGTGTCTGAGTACATTTGAGTGTATTTAGTGCAAATTGCTAACTTTCCGGTTATGTGTTAAGCTAATGCATTGTCTTATTTTCTGTCTGTAAATTTCTGTTCAGCTCTTCCGTTGGTCTGTACGTTGCTCACTGCAAGGAAGTTCAATAAAAGACGACAGAGCATCAGTCAAGGCTGACCTTTTTTCCACTGCATAGCTACATGTTGTGTGTCAGCGGAGGCAGGTTTTCATGCTCCTTAAAGACAACACTCAGGGCTGGGAGGGTTACTTTAAACATGTAATACAATACAATTACTTGTTTAAACATGTAATCTGATTACTTTTAGTTACTTTTGGATTATTTCAATACCAAACAGGCAACTGAAGACAAGAGAGTATCAAAGATGCATTTTCTGCTATTTTTACAGAAACACAGAATAAGAAAATCTCCCGTTCCCAAAATCCATGTTTCAATGTTTTTATATGCTTTGCACTATGTCACCACTATAACAGTATCTGTTCCATTCATGACAAAAACCCTTGTTTTGTAGCTATTCTTGAATATATTTAAAAGTCTGTCATTTGGAAAAGCATTTTAAAATGTTGATGACTCATTCTGCACTTGATGTATTAATTTAGCGTCCAATGAAAAGATTTCTCAATATGAAGCTGCTGAAGCAGAGTGTTTCTGGAACTGGCCCCACTGATTACTGAACACAAACACAACTTTGTTCACTGAGTTTTGTGAAACTGGATCATATTTGATGGAGAAATATTAGAACTATGGAGAAAATATATTGTAGTTTTCTCTCTGATGTCCCCCGGCTGCTCTGCCTCGACTCTGTGATTCACAGTTTCCTGATGGACAGACAGCTTTACTTGTTGCTGAAGTTAGTTCGTGGTGTTTTGGAGGTCTCTGGCTCATTGGCTGTAGACCCTGGTCTGATTTCCATAGATCAGGAAAAGGCTTTTGACCGGGTTGAACACCAGGATCTGTGGCAAACTCTAGCTGCCTTTGGGTTCAGCCCAGGCTTTATAGCCCAGATCCAGGTTCTGTATAGTGACACTGCAAGTGTTCTAAAAATGAATGGGGGTCTGAGTGCTCCTTTCAGTGTTCAGAGGGGGGTCAGACAAGGCTGCCCTCTAAACTTAGAAACGATCTGAGTGGCGTTTGTTTTCCAAACTGTCGGCGTACGCTGATGATGTCATTGTGCTGGTTAACACACGGAAAGACGTTGATATGTTGGTGAACTCTGTAAATCTGTTTGGCTGCATATCTTCTGCTAAAGTAACCTGGGGGAAGAGTGAGGCTGTCACGGTGGGGGAAAGGCTGAGGGGTCGGCTCAGGTTACCTGGAGGTTTGGTGTGGAAAAAAGGGAGAGACAGGTAGCTCAAATAGTGGCATCGCAGCTACCAGTGGCGTAAGATGCCACAGATTTACCGGGGATCCGTTGTTCATTTTTCCTTTGAAGAAAGACATTAATAAAAAATACAAAAAACGAGAGGGGGGGGGGGGTCAGGAGACCCAGAAGTACCCGTCCTGCTTTATTTCCAGACATTTTAATGAAACACAGTCCAGATGTGCAGGTGGTGAAGATGTGCCGGGTGAGTCGAGGTGATAAGGCAGATCTGTTTGTGACGCCGCGGCGTCTCAGTGCGCTCTGTGCGCCTGACAGCACAGTCTGCAGCAGCGCAAATAAAACTGCTGGTTTGAATGTTGAATGAACCCGTGGAGGGTTTTCCTGGACTTAGATCCGGCCTTAAAGCAGCCTGGAGGTCTTTGTACAAAGAAAGATGCAGAGCTGCAGTGGAGAATCCTTCATGGCGTTGTAGCCATGTAGTTATTAACGCTGCTGTAGAAGACAAATGTCCCTTCTGCAGTGAGAGACAGAGACGGTGTTTCACTGCTTCTCAGAGTGCATTCGTCTGACAGATTTGTTGGAAAACATTTTCAGTAGATGTGGAGAAGTTTTTCCGAAGCAGATTTTTATTTGTGGTTTTAGAGACACTCGCCGGAAGAAGAACAGATGTCAGCTACTGAACTTTGTTTCAGGACAGGCAAAGATGGCGGTGTATATGACCCGGAGACGGAAGGTGGAGGAAGGGTTAGATGTTGATGTGGTTCTTGTTTGTGAGAAAATGGTTCAGTCCAGACTGCTGTTAGGTTTCAGTTTTTACAGAGCTGCACATGACCTGGATACTTTTGAGCTGGTTTGGGGTTGTGGGGGGGCGTCTGCTCTGTGACAGAGGGGCAGTTAAGTTCTGAGATGTGCTGATCTAAACTTCTGATACACATGTAAACGCAAAGGTCTTTATTAATGTGATATAGGACGTTTATTTGTACAGTGCATATAGTAAAGAAATGTTGGTGTTAGAAGTCAAACCTCTCTCTCTGTCTCTCTCTCTCTCTCTCTCTCTGTCTCTCTCTGTCTCTGTCTCTCTCTCTGTCTCTGTCTCTCTGTCTCTTTCTCTCTCTCTCTGTCTCTGTCTCTCTGTCTCTGTCTCTGTCTCTCTCTCTGTCTCTCTCTCTCTCTCTGTCTCTGTCTCTCTGTCTCTTTCTCTCTCTCTCTCTCTGTCTCTCTGTCTCTGTCTCTGTCTGTCTCTCTCTCTGTCTCTGTCTCTGTCTCTCTCTCTGTCTCTCTGTCTCTCTCTCTCTCTCTCTCTCTGTCTCTCTGTCTCTCTCTCTCTGTCTCTCTGTCTCTCTCTCTCTCTCTCTGTCTCTCTGTCTCTCTTTCTCTCTCTCTGTCTCTCTGTCTCTCTCTCTCTCTGTCTCTCTCTTTCTCTCTCTCTGTCTCTCTGTCTCTCTCTCTCTGTCTCTCTGTCTCTCTCTCTCTCTCTCTCTCTCTCTCTCTCTCTCTCTCTCTCTCTCTCTCTCTCTCTCTCTCTCTCTCTCTCTCTCTCTCTCTCTCTCTCTCTCACTTTTCAACACAAAGTGAATCCCTTGCTGCTGTCAGTCATTTAAACGTTTCCATGCTCGCAGTGATGTCACAGTTAATATCGTGGGACATTTCTGCAGCAAAACAAATAAATGGAGTTAAAAACTTGACAGGTCAGACAGAGGAAACTCTGCAGAGGAAACTTTCAACTTTTAGTGTCTGAAATGTTTGGACTCTCTGATGGAGCTCAGGACTGATCAGGAGGACGGCTGCTTTACTCCAAACAGTGTCAGCAAGCTAACACGCTATTTAAGAACAGTCCGTGTTGATGCAGTCTGCAAGTAGAAGGATCCGTCAGAACCAATCATCAGCCGGCAATCTGACAGCTGACTTAACGTTTCATCCACAGACTTAGAAATAATAACACAAACAGACGTAACGCTCTTCCTGATTATCAGCTTCTATTCCACATCATGTTTTTAAAGAAATGATAAGAAAATAGATAAATACAATGAATAAATAAATAATCTCTATTTCAACTATCAGACAATAACAAATATTTCCATTTTCTAAACTTCTACATTCTAAACCTTCTTCAGCTCTGAACAGATTATTAAACACTGAATGATTTCAAGCAGGAACATTGTTTCTAACGTTACATCATTTATTCTTTATTCAGATTGGGTCTCTGCAGTTTGTCAGAGATCAGCTGTGCTTCTCTGGCCTCAGCTCTGAAGTCCAACCCCTCCCATCTGAGAGAGCTGGACCTGAGTGGAAACGAGCTGCAAGATTCAGGAGTGAAGCTGCTGTGTGGTTTTCTGGAGGATCCACACTGCAGACTGGAGACTCTGAGGTCAGTTCACTGACTCTCTGTTACTATTGTAGATCTGATATGTTTAATTAACAGTTTTTACTGTTACTATTGTAGATGGGTCAATGACGTGACGCCTACATTTTCTGTCCAACTTGATTTTTTTCACAAAAAAAAGGTTGAAAGCATAAAAGCATACCATATAAATACAGGACCTCTCCCATATATTTACCATTAACTTTAAAAAAACATTAGCTGTTTGTTAATTTTTCTGATAATTGAAGTCTCAAAATGTCATGTGGTGCGACCGTCCGGCCATGACTGCTGTTTTTAAAACTTTGAAATTACTTTTAATCTATTTAAAATTGTGTTTTGCCCTATTTGGCAGATTGTTTTGTCGTCCTCTTCAAAATCGCAAAGCATCTGTATTTATATTTCCATAATAATACACAAGCAAACTTTGTCCGATGATGTCCATTTTATAAATATCATGTGGTGCGACCATCAACAAACGACTTTTATGTTGAAATCCATTAGAAGACAGGAAGTTGAATAATATACCCATTTTGCCAAGGACCCATTGAAACAGCAAGTAGGTTTTTAACTCTTTCTCAAAGCTGGAAAAATGTAAAATTGTAACAGCTGGTATGTAGTTGCCACTTTTGTATAACATGTAGTATGACCTCAGAAAAACAATTAATATAAAGTTATTTCTACTAATATTTGTTTTGATTATAAATTTCATGGAGTCCTGTTGTAGGAAGCTAGCTTGTTTTGTTTAGGTGGCCTATTCTCCCTATTAGAAAATATCAAGTGGTTTCCATGATTGGCAATTTAGTTTTTGTCCTTTTATTTTCAACGTATGACTTTTACATACAAAGTACTTTTATTGTAATATTTAATTAATTGTAACTGTTTTACCAGATGCCACGCCCAAGTAAAGAAAAACTGCTCGCCATGGACAGTATGTTAATTTTGACCCTGCAGCAAAAGCGGAGTTGCTAAAACAAGCCAAAAATATTGCGTCTTTAAGAAAATTTCAAATGAAAACTATATGAAGCAACATGTTGCTCTTGTGTGTTTCCATTTATTAGGAGGTAAAAGCATTTTTTTTGTGAACATGTTGGCGTAGGAGCCCGTCCTCACTTGATTTATTGTGCTGCTTTACGACCCATGTTTACGTTTTTAACGACCTCTATTGGCCGTGTTGGCTGAGTCAAACCCAGGACTTTCACACAGGAGAACCGCGTTCCATTCCCCTGTGAAATCAAGTAAATGTAGAGTTATTTTCAGTTTGAAGCCAACTTTAGCCCTAACAAAATGTAGCAAAGCATTTATTTCAACAGAAATGGTGGTGCCTTGAACATCCTGTTGCGTACGCCAGCCACTGGACTTCACTGTCTTTTAAATGTGGCTGCTGATTGGGTAACACCTCTGACACACCCAATAAATGAGGAAAAACATACCTGCAGTTAATGAAATTAGATTAAATATATGTCAAGTTATGTTTGTTCAAAACAAAGCTGTGAATGTGTACTGCACTAAAGTAAATGTTTCTAATGAGATTTTCATCAAAGATTTTATATGAAATTTTGATTGAAAATTCTTTTAAATTCTAATAATGATATCTGGTAAAATATATTTTTTGTTTAGAAGTTTTTGTTTATTGATCTCCTTAAATATATATTTTTAATGATATGCAGTGTTCATGTCATTTGGAGCGACCACTCATCATGTGGTGCGACCAATAATAACAATAACTGTATTAAATTAAAATTAAAATATCTCATTCCTGTGACTGTTGAAAATCCTTATACGTCATTGACCCAGATCTGATATGTTTAATTAACAATTGAAGCTAATTTCTGTTCAGACATAACTTCCATGCATAAAGTGTCCTTTTGTTCATATTTTCACTTACTGTATCAGTAATTAGAGGCAGTGACTGAGAGGAGGATGAGAGGGAAGCTGAAAACCATCATGGACAACCCCGCTCATCCTCTCTATGCTGAGCTGAGGCAGCTCAGGAGCTCCTTCAGCCACAGACTCATCCAGCCCCGAGCCTCAAAGAGCTTTGGAGGCTCATTTGTGCCGTCAGCCATCAGGCTCCACTAGGGGTGTGGAAAATAACTGATCTTTAGATGCATCGCGATGCGGACTTGGACGATTCTGAATCCATTGACAAATGTCAATAATGGATTATCTAGAGGTTAACTGATAACGTAATGTTGACAGAACGAAAAAGGCGGAACTCAGAAATGTGGAAGTGCAGCTCCGGACCGTCTGTGGTGTGAACACAACGGAGACGTGTGGTTCTCCCTGTTCAGCACAGACAGACAGCTGTTTAATGAGCGCTGCTACTAAACTTTGACATGATCAATAAAATCAGACTAACGTTAATGATTTTCACCTGCACACTGTGCAGCACGGCAGCGCTTAGCTAGCGTCCTCTCCTCATTCTTTATAGGACAGCTACAGGACAGGCGGCAGTAGGTGACGCTGAAAGCAGAGGAGGAAAAGATGAGCGCCACGTTTCAAATGTACGCTGCAGGTCACAGCGTGTCCGTTAATTTAAGTCTGTCTGTTTTCCAACTGCTGGAAAAGTGAAGGCGGTTAGCGCTAGCTAACATCTCCTCTTCAGACTGCGGTCTGGAAGCTGAGCAGGACGCTTTTTTGCTGCTACTTCAAGTTCGTTTGTTGTCATTCATCCACATATCGAAAAGCCGTTTCTCAAGGCCAATGGTGCTCAACACAAGTTCACAATAATCAAGTTAGGAGAAACAAACACCTAAAGGATTATTAGGAAGACCTGTTCAATTTCTCATTAATGCAATTATCTAATCAACCAATCACATGGCAGTTGCTTCAATGCATTTAGGGGTGTGGTCCTGGTCAAGACAATCTCCTGAACTCCAAACTGAATGTCAGAATGGGAAAGAAAGGCGATTTAAGCAATTTTGAGCGTGGCACGGTTGTTGGTGCCAGACGGGCCGGTCTGAGTATTTCACAATCTGCTCAGTTACTGGGATTTTCACGCACAACCATTTCTAGGGTTTACAAAGAATGGTGTGAAAAGGGAAAAACATCCAGTATGCGAAAATGCCTTGTTGATGCTAGAGGTCAGAGGAGAATGGGCCGACTGATTCAAGCTGATAGAAGAGCAACTTTGACTGAAATAACCACTCGTTACAACCGAGGTATGCGGCAAAGCATTTGTGAAGCCACAACACGCACAACCTTGAGGCAGATGGGCTACAACAGCAGAAGACCCCACCGGGTACCACTCATCTCCACTACAAATAGGAAAAAGAGGCTACAATTTGCAAGAGCTCACCAAAATTGGACAGTTGAAGACTGGAAAAATGTGGCCTGGTCTGATGAGTCTCGATTTCTGTTGAGACATTCAGATGGTAGAGTCAGAATTTGGCGTAAACAGAATGAGAACATGGATCCATCATGCCTTGTTACCACTGTGCAGGCTGGTGGTGGTGGTGTAATGGTGTGGGGGATGTTTTCTTGGCACACTTTAGGCCCCTTAGTGCCAATTGGGCATCGTTTAAATGCCACGGCCTACCTGAGCATTGTTTCTGACCATGTCCATCCCTTTATGGCCACCATGTACCCATCCTCTGATGGCTACTTCCAGCAGGATAATGCACCGTGTCACAAAGCTCCAATCATTTCAAATTGGTTTCTTGAACATGACAATGAGTTCACTGTACTAAAATGGCCCCCACAGTCACCAGATCTCAACCCAATAGAGCATCTTTGGGATGTGGTGGAACGGGAGCTTCGTGCCCTGGATGTGCATCCCACAAATCTCCATCAACTGCAAGATGCTATCCATCAATATGGGCCAACATTTCTAAAGAATGCTTTCAGCACCTTGTTGAATCAATGCCACGTAGAATTAAGGCAGTTCTGAAGGCGAAAGGGGGTCAAACACAGTATTAGTATGGTGTTCCTAATAATCCTTTAGGTGAGTGTATTTACACATCTACGTAGAATGTTACTGATTCTACTTTTTCTTGTATTTGTATTGTGTCCTTTACATTCCTCTGTGTTGCTGTGCCAATCTGATTTTCCCCTACAGGGATTAACACAGGTATGTCTTATCTGAAACGGTCACATCTGGATACAGAAGATCCTCTGAACTAATATTTGTTTGAAACTGATCAAGTTTACTTGGTGAAGTAGAAATGTTTCGGTAGCACTTTATAATAACTACACACTATAAAGCATTAGTGAAGTATTAGTAAATACGGAATTCATCATTTATAAAGCATTGTAGCCAGCCTAATACTGTGCTAATGTTGTTGACCCGTAGCTGCTTGTTATGACGCGTTAGGCGGCTAATGTTGTACCTGATGTTGCGTGTAAATCAGATACAGAGGCATCGTCTTTGTTGCAATATCACCAATTTACTGATCTCCACACAGATGAAAGGTGCACAAAGTGAAGCAGTTGTTAAGTATTAGTACATTTTTAATTCATCATTTACAAGCCATTGTTCTTACGATAATACGCATTAGTAAGTCTTTATTAATAAGCTCATCTATAATGTGCTTAATAATTGTATTTTCATACTTTATACATGATCGGTTCACTATTTATAAATGAAGTATTATTTTAATGACAAACCATTTATATATGAGTTGTTAATGGTTCATAAGATCATTTGGAAAGTGTAAGTGTAAGTGTCTTTTTTTTTGATACTGACATTTAGTTATTTAGAAATGGTCTAATAGGGCGTGTTCATAGATGTTTTATGACACTTAATTCTACAATTTATGATTAATTCTGGTTACTAATGGTAAGTATTTTGTGTGAGCTCATCTAAAGTGAGGACTGTCTATATAAGCATTACAAATGATATTGTAACACACAAGAATCAGAGGACCTCAGAGGGAGGCCCCTTCCTGCAGATCGGTTATAAAGAGGCGGAGCTCCGGGGCCCCCTTTGCTCCGGTGCACAGGCTTTGCATTAAAGTGCGTTTTTTACCCACCAAACAGCTTCAGCTTCACCAAAAGGAACGTCAGTG